TCCCCCCCCCCCCCCGAAAACACACCTTAGTATTTGACTTTGCACCCCATTCTGGAGTCCTTTGGAGTGCAAAGCGTAAGAAAATAAAATATGAGGTGTGAAGTCAAATCTTGAGTTAAACATGGAATGACAGTAGCAAAATCCCCTTTGGTTTTTAGTAAAATCAAGCAAGGAACTAGCTTTTACAAGTTATGATGGTCACTTATACCCCCTAAGGGCCACACTTAAATTACCAAGGTTGTTTGGTGCAACTTACTAAAAGTGCTTCCCGCTGGGTTTACATGATTGTTACTTTAAAATCAACATTGACTTTTTTTAAACCAAGCTTTTTGGGAAGGACAATACATTCTTGAAACCAGGCTTTTTTGGATGGAGAGGTAGTCACTAAGGTCACCAAACACTAAACAAACCCTTATTACATTACTCACTGTATACAAGAAGTAATTTGCAAAAGGAATTTACTCCCTCCATCCCAAAAAAGGTTTATGCTTTCCTTTTTCGTTCATCCCAAAATGTTGCTCTTGTTTTCTTTCAAAAAAAGAATCATGGGAAATATTATTTCTCTCATCTGCATAAATCTAAACTACACAACTTCAGTTTCTTAAGTAGTGTTCCGAGTCATACACAGAACCTTAATTTGGGATGGAGGTAGTAATTAATAATGAGAAGGGCTGAAAGAAGATACCTTTCTTTAGATTCTTCAGGATGTGTAGCAGTATCTCGTGCTTCTAGGTCCAAAACAGATATTAAACTCTGTAAAATTATTGTTAAGAAGCCTGTCCTTTTTGGAAGCCTATGATTTAGAAGAATTTCAATGCCAGTTTTCCCACAAGAAGCAAGGAAAGCCAGTAAAATTATTGAATGCCTTTGGACCTGTAATTCCTGGAAATTAAGGGGGATTAAAAACAGGTTAAACATGAAATCTTGTGGTACTGTTTTGCCCCCATGATTTCTAAATAAAGTCAATATGCACTTAGGGTCCATCTGAAACTTGGGAATGCTAGGGAGAGAAAATGAGGAAAACATAGAGGAATATGAGGATAGAAAACATGAGGAAATAAAAGAAAGGTTAAAACTCAATAAATTTATTTTAAATCTTTGATGATGTTCATTTTATTTATGTCTACTAAAAAATGTGTCCTTTGCCAATGGATCTAAAAGAGTCATTATTGACAATGTTTTAACTTCGGGTAACAAATAGACCAAACCAAATGGCAGATTTAACTTCCTCCGCTTCTTAGTCTCTATGAAACTTTGAGTAATAATGCATCAGTGCATCATGTCCTCCATTCCCAATGGAGCTAGAAGCCACTTTGACAATGGTTTAGCTTAAGGCAAGTAATAGACTAAATCAAACAATGCACATTAAATGTCTCCTGCTTTTCACTTTCTATGAAGTTTTGGGCAGTAAAGACAGCAATGCAACCACGGTCTAAGGGAAACAACCTCTCCACATGTGTAATGTTGCCTACAACTTGACCCTCAGATCCCAATAGATATGGGATTATACTGGATTTGTTGTTGCAATGCAGCAATGCATCAAAGGTGTATCAGGAACAGGTTCCCTGTTATTTTACAGGAACTGGTATTATACTGGGCTTCTTGTGTCATATTAAGACCAAGAAATCTAAAAGTATGTTAAAAATTAAAACTAAACATAAGAAAATAAAATTTCGTAGCATTCTCCAGGTTCCAAACATATCCCAACTAATTTGGACTCCAAAATATGAACAGTACTTTACACCAAATATCTTCCCTATATCATGTTATAGCGAGTAATTAGCAGCAAATCAATAAGTTTGTAACTCCAGTAAGTGAGTCTCAGTTGTTCAAGAAAACTAAGCTACATCTAGCATAACCTCGATACATCTAAATTAATGTGTAGTTTTTTGTTATTTTTTGCGTTGATTACAAATAGTGAGTATTTCACATGTCTGGTTTGAACTTACATTCTAAAACAGATTATGCATGAATTATTTCCATTGTAGAAGCATGTGCGGCAAGAATGTCATTGGAAAACAGAGTATGCATGTGTTATAGAGAGTAATTATCAGCAATTCAGCAAATCAATAAGTTTGTAACTCCAGTAAGTGAGTCTCAGTTGTTCAAGAAAACTAAGCTACATCTAGCATAACCTCGATACATCTAAATTAATGTGTAGTTTTTTGTTATTTTTTGCGTTGATTACAAATAGTGAGTATTTCACATGTCTGGTTTGAACTTGCATGCTAAAACCGAGTATGCATGTATTATTTCCATTGTAGAAGCATGTGAGGCATGAACATCATTGGAAAATCATTAAGAGTGCAACACTTGTTGCAGCCCAAGGAAGAAATGAAATAAAGATAGACAACTAACTCGTAATTTTTCACTGATCCAGAAGGGAAACGACGGATAAAAACTAATGACAGAAGAATATATGGAGTTGGGGTTACCTAGCATACCTCGGTGCTTTTCCCGCTACAAGATAGACATTCAGCCAATCCTTCAAAAATCTTACAGATTACTTGAAAAGTTGAAGCAGTTTTGGAACTTGCATCAGCAGTGCCTGTACTTTTCCCTCCCATGAAATTGTTGAAAAATGATGCCATAACATTTGGGCCTTCGTCAATGTATCCATGGAGGAAAAACAAAAGTCAGTTCAAGGCTTTCAAACAATAATTAGGCTATGATCTTCAATATATGTGTGTGTGTGTGTGTACATAAAAATTCAAAAGATAATTGACATAAACATGAAACTGTTATTCTCTTCTGTGTAAACTCAATGCTTGATTGGGTTGACTTCTATGTTCCAAGTGTGAAGTAAAAACTAAAAAACACAATGGACGACAAATATTTACAAAGGTCATAGCATCAGCAACCATTGACCTCTAAGCAGAATGAGACAGATTCTAAAATTATTCCCACGTTGAAGTTCATTCTTATTTACTCTGTATATTTTATATTCCTTCTATCCCATAATAATCTTCATGTTTACTATTCAGCGAATCTTCTTTCATTGCCTATTTTCGTTAACCATTTGTTACAACATAGCCATGTCACCTCCTTTTTTTGTATATTTTTTGGTAATTTTTAAATATATTAATTTTATTTTTTAAATTCTACACCGATACTTTAATAAAATGAATTGAAAATAACTTCAATCAAACATAGTAAACCATACAGAAAAAATGATAATGGGACAGATGGAGTAACATTTAAGATAAACCTTTTCTCTAAAAAGCAATACATGCACTTACAATTAAGCAGCAGGTAAAGAAGGCGCACAGCTTGCTTATTTACACGGTAGCCAGCATCCTTCCTCAATAGTAGTGAAACACTTTGAAACACTATATCTGATGCAAACCTGGCTCAATAAATAAATAAATAGAAGTGTACACATTCTGACAAAACACAAACATTTTAGAGGAGGAAACGAGGTCACAGTCAATGAAAGGGGTTTTTAAAAAAATAAAAAGATAAATTCATAATTACTCAGTAATTGTTCACTTACTTTTCCCTCTCCAAGAATGTATGCTTTCTTACAAGGATCAAATTCATAATAGAAACTGCTTCCCATCTGATATGCTCTAAACTATTCATCATTATAATTTGGCACATCAGTTCAAACAATGAGAGATAGTTGAAACATGACGTGAATACTGAAGTTCCGGGATTGAATGATCCCATTCTGGAAAGTGTATCACTATTATCCAATTGAGCTACGGCGTTATGATTTAGTGTCTCTTTGGAATGGCTTCCTCTTCTAGAAGGTTTATTTTCATCAATCTCCTCAAAAATCACATTGGACCTGGTACATTACACTGAAAAAATCAAACTAAAGCACATAAGGAAATGAATTGCTGGACCTCAGGAGAGGAGAATGTGCACGGAATGTATGTTGTGTCATATGAGAGTATGAGCATTGAGTAGTCAGACAGAGAGATTAAAATATAACATGACAATGTCTACCTTAGAAGTTAGAATGTAACATACAAGCATGCAGTGGAACTTTTTTATGTAACAATTATTTTATGGTACATGTGTAAATACAAATTACTATGCAACTATTACTTAATACTTTAATGGCTAAGCTAATTTTATTTACTAGCTTCGTAATAGCTATGATAATTTTCAATCACATAGAAGATAATGTCATTATTGTCAATTTAGTTGTCTATTTGAAAATGAAATGTTTGAGAAGATACAACCACAACGGGAGTCCAGAAGTGCAAGAGTGTCATAAATCTTCTAATGGGCTCTCTTAATATAGTATTAGACTATTCAAACATTCATTCAAATTTTTTCAATATTAAAATAGTTGGAGAACTCATAAACACGCAACCTTTTGGTCATGCAAGAAATGCTAAGTTGGTTAATCTAATAAAGGGGGGAAAGCATAAGGAATGTACTTAACTAATGTACTTGAGCAAATGAGCAACAATAGCATACCTTCTATCGTCTTTCTTTTCTGCAAAGAAACTGCAGCTTAAAACCTCATGCAGTATATGCAGAGCCCTGTACATTATAAGAACCTGCATTCAGAAATAGATACTTAAGATGATAATCAAGAAATTAATCACTCCACCCCAACTTATAACTTATAAGAGATATTTTCTTTTTATGCAGTTTCAATGAAAAAATGTAGCATGAAATGCACATTCCAAGCATCACTCAAGTGAATCATACAATACTGAATCATTTCAATTAGTTAAGAAAAAAAAGGTGATTTGGAAAATAAAAATAAAAATTAGTGGTGTATATATTAGTAAATTACACGTTATATTGGGACAAACTAAATTACTAAAAAGAGAAGTATGATAACTAAAATGGAGTTGAGGGAGTACAATAGGTCATGAAACAAGCAGCATAAAAGTATCAAATAACATAAATTATGCTTCATGGATCAAAAGAGCTACGAAACACCAAGACAAGTTTTAGAGTAAACGAATCAAACACGTGGAAGGACACAGAACACTTGAATGAAGCTCCAAAGATCTCCAAGTTGCAGAACTCTTTCATTGATGCTAGTAAAACACTAAAGCTATAACTCTTGAACTTAGATATGACTATGATGAGCCAGAAGCAGTTAAATGACGCCCTGATGATTCCTAAGTTGTCAATACATTTACAATAGCTTGATCTTTATGATTTCCTAAATCTAACTTAAAATTCTAATTTTATTTAATTGAAGGGGCCTCAGACCAATATAAACAAAAGTGACTTTGCGGTTAAAAAAATTGAACCCAAAGTCAAATTTAGTTGACTTTGCGGTAAAAAATTTGACCCCAAAGTCAACTAAATTTGAGGGTGCAATTGAAGGGGTGGCGGGGTGGATTCGGGTTGGGCCGGGGGGAGGGGGTTACCCAGTGTTAGGAGGTAGAAACCATCAATTTTTGGAAAGGAGCACCATAGGAGATACAACAAATATGACATGTAGTGCAGAACACAAGTTGAAAAATTCAGGTTCTTTGCATATGCGTAATACAAGATACATTACACGCTTTTGAATTAAAGGGAAAAAACACCCCCACACACAAATGATGGTGTATTCTCAGCCCCTCAAGAGTCTAGAATCAACTTACTTCAAGTGTACAATAATTAATAGCCGGAGATAGAATATAAGAATGAAAATATGATATCATTGGGAGTTTTAAAATTGAGGGGCAACATTGATGAGAGTTGCAACTATGGCTTTTTGAAAGATGCGTATGGATTCAGACCAAATACATCCAAACCAACTAAAAAATAAGAGAACCAAACATACTTGGGCCATAACTCACATTTTTAAGTTGGCAAAGTTCAACTAATGCATCGAGTAGACCATCCAATCTAAGCATCTCATTGCTAATCTGAAAAATGGTAATAGAAATTGTAAGCATTGCAGGTATGGATTAAATAAAAAGGTTTTTGTGATACAGACCTAAGAACCTTTATCACCCTAACAATAGGGTGATGAAGAACTGACTCTAAGGAAAACAAAAGGGAAATTGAGAGTGTTCCCTATCTGTATTCTCAATGTAAACTTTTTGGTTAACTGCTCTTTCATTCAAAAGAACTACCAATGACTCGATGAAATTTAGAAAGCTAGAACCATGCATTCGTTGGTGTAAACTGTAAAGCGTCCATATAAAATGATAATAGAACTGCCCACACAAGTGTGTTAAGTGAATTGTGGTTGAAACGATTTAGATGAGATTTGTGTATGTAATGCATCAAGGCTAAGAACAGTATAGCGGAATCACTTGAACATATACCTTCATCAAAACGGAATAAAGATGAGATACTTTTGCAGAGACATTGAGATGATCTTGCAGCAGATTGTCCTCCTTAGCAACTCCAGAGTAAGAAAAAGAACTTTCTGTTCTCATCTTGGAGGGGAAACTTGAATCCAGCAATCCAAAGAGAACGCGGAAATCAGCTTCGCAAGTCTCTAACAGTTTTGAAACAAAGATTCTCCCTAGATTTTGACCAGTCGGTGACTCCCATGCATCTAACAACTTTTTCTTAATCATGGAAGGAGAATCACTTTCACCCGTTGATATGGTAGAAACACTGGCTCTTTCAGTCTGAACTGTAAAAACTCAGCAAAAGCGTGGACAATATGATTCAATAGATATATAGATAAATAGCTAGACATATGATAATCAACCAATCAAGAAATCAACTTTTTGATACACTTCTAGTAAACTCTCACCAGCATTTGTCTCTTTTTCTTCACTATGCTTTCTCAACATAATGCATTCCTGTTCCTGAAGTTGTAATTCGTATATTGACCCAAATGGAAGAAATTAGACACAACCTGTATATATAAAGAATTTCTAATGGAATAAACAATTTCGGAATTTGGTGCTCAGAGATATTTGTTGGTAACTTTCTCTTTTTATAGAAGCAGAATGCAGTGAACAGCCATAGATGGACCTAAATTCAGTAACATGGATCCCCGGACCCCACGGACCTTCACGTAGTATTATATTTATATATTAGATATTTTATTAATTTTGTACGGCATGTGCACATTCATATATTCAAGAAATCTATAATTGTAACAATGTCTAGTAATTCTAGTTTCCGTTAAGTGGATAGTGATGTCATGTGTTTGTCACTTAACTACTTAAGAAGGTTAGTAGTTAGAACCCCACATGCGCAATTATTATTTTTCTCATTAATAAAATGAATGGGTCGCCCTACCCCTCCCTTATCTCTCAAACTCCCTAAGTCCCTAGTCCCTAAAACCCCAAGTCTCAAGTTTTCTCAAACTCCCTAGTGCTAGTGTGTGGGGTGTTAATTTGCTAAGTATCTTTGAAGTTAATTATCATCTGTTTTGTTCATGATGCCCTTCAAGTTTTCAAGCTTGCTGTTGGAAAAGAAGGTTTTTTAGGATGGGTTTGAGATTTGTAAGTGGTTGATAGCAAACTTTATAGTACTGTCTAAACTTTAGCAAATTTGTGTTAGATTAATTTTAAAATTAATCTATTGCTTTAGTCCATATTACTTTAATGAATATACATTGGTTTAGTTCATTAATCATTCATTGGCTTATTGATTGAACTGATTGATTTGTTAAAGCTATTTTAAAAATCATCGAAGACTCAAAAACATTGAACTTAGTGGAAATGGTTCGAATTGATTACTCCCCTATCCCAAAAAATTGAGTTTTCATTTTCTTTCTCCGTGTTGGCCAGTTTAGAGCAGGCCCTTTCTTCAAGTGTTTATCCTATGAGGTTATTAATCTCATTCACATGCATTATAGAATGCAGATACAAAATGTTTGTAATACCTTCTGCGCAAGCAGCTCTGAAACGCGGCCAAGCTCTCCCTAAGAACAGAAGATTTAAAGTTCGCATTATGAGCCACTCAGTATAATATTTCAAAGAGCAATGGAAAAAATGAATCGGCTAGGTTTAATCATTGAAAAATTTCTAAAGAATTGCAAGATTAGTATAGAATATGCACATAGTGAAAATCCTTGGACCTTCAATCTATCGATTTCCTGTTGTTGAAAGGCGCCATTAGAATCCTTGGAAGTGGAGGGTGTGGCAACTTGTTGAACAGCTAACTGAGGCGCCTTCCATGGAGGTGAAGAACTAATGCCGACGAAGGGCGACGGAGTGGCCGCCGGCGGCGGATGTGGGTGAGTGGGCGGGGGAAGAAGGTTGCGCTGCGTAGAGGCGAGCTCAACCGCCTCAACAGCCTCCGCGACGGCTCCGACGAAATCGGCGTCGCTCCATAAGTCGTCGTCGTCGTCGTAACCCTCGCTTGCCATCTGTCCCTGCGCTGGAATGCAAACTGCGACGCAATGAACTCTTGGCCGACCGGCTTGTTACCCGCTTCCCTTTTTTGGCCCAGCGGTAGTAGTAGGGAAAATATAATGATGGTGCCCTTAACTATAATCATTAGTAAATCACGTTTTCAAACATAAATTCAGACTCCAATGAAGTTTATATACACAGTATTCTTTATTTTTTGGAAAAATTACCTAAAATAATCTCAACTTTACCCAGTCTTTCAAAAATAATAATCTCAACTTTACTGAAATTTGTCAGTTTTGGGTCGCCGTTAAGTTTCTAACGGAGGGTTAACGGAAATGCCCATTTTAGGCAACAAAATGAAAGTTGGGATTATTTTTGATGAATTTTCATTTTTTTTATTTTTTTTTAATTTTTCATTTAAATTTTTTAAATTACTTTCTATCTCCATCGTCATTTCTTTTTCCTTTTTTAAAGATTAGTCTTAGTTTAAAAAATAAAAATAATAGATATAAAAAATGAAAAAATGAGAAATGTAACTAAAATGATACAAAAATAATAAAACAAATAAGGTAATCAATGGAAACTAACTTGAAATTGGTAAAAGTAAAATAAAAATATACGGGTGGGTTTTAATATTTTACGCATTATACAAAGTATTAACATATCACTTCTTATTTTTTAGAAAAAATTATCTAAAATAATTCCAACTTTACCGGACGGCTTGTTATTTTAAAAACTAAGTACTCCCTCTGTCCCGCTATATTCGTCCACTTTTGACTTTTGGAACTGTTTATTTAAGCACTTTAACTCATCAAATTCTCTCAATGTGTAAGACTAAATATAGTCATATGTTTGATTTGTCTTAGCATATAGATTATTAATATATAATTTCTATAATTATTTAATATACAAGTTACAAGATAAAATGGATTAAAGAAGTGTATTGCATGGTGTGTAAAAATGAAAGTGGACAAATACTCTGGGACGGAAGAAGTAGTACATTAAGACTCCGTATAGTGTGTAAAATGTTAAAATCCACCACTCCGTATATATTTATTTTTTTCTTACTAGTTTCTGTTTAATTTCTATTGATTACATTATTTATTTGATTAATTTTGTATGGTTTTAGTTATTTTTCTCATTTTCATTATTTTTTATATCTATTTTTTTCTAAGTTAAGAATAATCTTTAAAAAAGAAAAAGAAATTGAGGTTGAAAGTAATTCAAAAATTTTAAATAAAAATTTCAAAAAAAATTAAAAAACAAAAATTCATCAAAAATAATCCCAACTTTCATTTTGTTGCCTAAAACGGGCATTTCCGTTAACCCTCCGTTAGAAACTTAACGGCGACCCAAAACTGACAAATTTCAATAAAGTTGGGATTATTTTGCATGACAGTGAAAGGTGTGATTATTTTTGAAAGATCGGGTAAAGTTGGGATTATTTTGAGTAATTTTTCCTTATTTTTTTAGTAACATGAAGTTTGTATTTTTTTTCTCACTTTTGCACTCCCTTTAAAAAAATACTCCCTCCGTCCTCTTTCTTTTTTATTCGTATCAAAAATACTTTTTATTTCTGTTAAAAAAAAGTTAATTTTACTTCTTATTTTTTTATATCTTACTTATTACATCATACCGAGTATCTTTTTATTAATAATCTACCCATCAAATATTACTTTTACACATCACATCAAAGGATTCTTTTTGAAATTTAATATCAAAATACACTTTCCTTATGTCTCTTAAAAATCAATAACTCTCATAGTTTTAGGACCGGAGGGAGAGAGTAATAGAGTTTATGACATCTTGTCTAAATAAATTTTCTAAAGATTTCTGTTTTTATTTAGTTTTTCAATTAAATATTAGTAGTATAATGTTTATTGGGAAAAAATGTTAACGGGAGTATGTTCAATCTAAAAATGTTCATTTTCAAAGAAAGTAATTCCTTCTAATTTTTAGTAACTCCCCTACACACAAAACAATTTTGTGAAACATGATGACGAAAATTGGTTCTTTTGTCGTAGTATGTAATCAGAGAGAAACGAAATAAGGATTACCGAGTAGTCAATAGATCAATCGCGCGTTCACTCCTTTCAGTTTCGCAGTCGATTGATTCGTCACAATCGGCTCAAAATGGTGGGCATCTTTTCAAGATTTTCCGTTTCAAAGAATGGGCATAGACGAGCTCAGAGTGCACTTGTAAGCTTTTCTCTCTCTCTCTCTCTCGGTCCGTAGCTTTCTTGATTCCCTAGGTTTTAAGCTTGCTTTGCTTGTTTTCTTTTGAAAAAGATTGACTTTTTTTTTCTCTCGTTTCCTATCATCCGATCTGGGTGGTTTCCATATTGTTGCGTTTATCATTGATCTGATAAAGAACAGATATGCGTCTGCTTGATTTGTATGCCATGCCCAATTTCTTGTTTTTCTTGTCCACTTTCTTGTTTTCGTTTGCCCCGCAATTTCTATATTCAACAAAGAAATTATAATGATTTGTCTAGAATATGCTGAAATAAGTTATGGGCATTGTTGAGCATCAATCTCACGCCTAAAAATGAGATTTTTAAGAATTAATTATGGACCGAGGGAGTACATTTTTAGGAAATGAGATTAAAATGTCAAATAAGGCATTCGAATGAGTTTGAGCCGGTTCGGTTGGTTTCCATATTGTTGTGTTTGTTATTTATTATTTATTATTGATCTGATCCGAATGGATATGTGTTTTCCTGATTTGTATTCCCCGTTCAATATGTTGTTTTGTGTGTATAGATTTAGTTGTCTACTTTCCATATTCAATAAAGAAATTACGAGTATAATGAATTGTGTAAACTATACCAAACATAAGTTAAGAGCATCGTTGACGTGAATGAGTATCAAACTCATTTGACATTTTAACCTCATTTATAGAAAAATGAGATATTTACAAAAAGTGTACAATTAAAGATTTATAGGAAAATGGACAATTAAAGATTTATAGGAAAATGGACAATTGAACTCATTTGACTATTTTCTAACAAACGAAAACAAGAAAATGGACAGATAGAGCAGAGGGAGTATTTGTTCTTAGAGTGTTCGTGAAGTGATCTTTTTCTTTTCGAAAGAAATTTAAACCAAGCGGAAAATTACTTGTGATTTTAACTAAGAAGAGCACTGAGCTAAAAAAATAAGTTGAAAAGGGAATACCGTGAGCAATCAAATCCGGATATTCCCATAAATAATGGTGGACTGGTACCTCTTGTAAGTGCAATTGTGTAATGGGCCAGTGCAAATGTTTCTTCCTGACCGTTGATTGCATTGGTGCATTTACTATCTAAAACTTCATAGAAAGTAACGAGCAAATGAAGTTTAATGTGGCCGGTCACTTGGATTAAGTCCATTATTTAATTGAAACTAAAATGTTGTCAAATAACGATTCCTTTAGTTCCAAATGGCAATCATTACAGTTTTGATGGTTTATTACATAATGCAGGATGTGAGGGATGTATTGCCTTCTAAACCAGAGGCAACAATTGCTACTTCTATAGTCGGAGCAGCAGCAGCTGTCTGCACCCATGGCATTGAAGTTGCAGTTGGATTCAAGCCCGTTGAACACCCGTTTGAGCCCTTTGACAGCGATGCCCCTATCCGATGCCCGCTGCCTGAACCTTCAATACTCAATGTACGTTTCAAGCTTGATTTTGTTATTTATAGCTTCTTTACTATGCACTCAGCCACTCAGTTAAGGCCTGTTTGGTGTGATTAAAATTGCCTGAAATGACTCGTCTTGCTAATCTCCTGTTGGAATTTTTGATATTTTTGAATGGGATTATTATCTTAAATTACATGAAACCCCAAATATGATGACAGAAGAGTAATTCGTTTTCATTTATGCCATTTCAGCAACAAAAAAAACTTGTGCATTAGCTTTTTCTTAAGATTAGCCTATTCACCCTACTTTTTGTTGGATTTTTTCTGGGTTTGTTGCTATGGCCTATTCAGCTATGTAATCAGTTAAGATATCGTTTGGGAGGAAATTGGTTGATAAGACTCGTAAGTTAAATAACTGAATAAGCAAGGAACTAAAGGGGCAGTAAGGTTTTATAGAAAGAATAGTCTAATGTTTAATACATCGTTTTTTTTAAAAAAAAAATTGGGGATGCAGGATGGAAGAATTTGGGAAGAGCGAGTTTCGGGCGCGCGAAAACCATCTGACCTCGAAGTTGTGCATGAAGGGGTAGCTGTGGGTCCCGAGGCAGCCAGCACAACAACGCGTCAACACCCCTCTGCACGTCCGATTTTTCCATCCATTAGTGCACCGGAGCACAGTATCCTCGGATTGCTTGAAGAGCCTTGACTTCACAAGAATTTGCTGTTTTGTTTTGTGTGTCATACGGAGTATTTTCTTCTTCTTCTCCCTTACCACACCCCACCCCACCACACCCCTCTCTCGTTATGACAACAAGGTGGGGTGGGGGAGATACATACACTATACATACGGAGTAGTTGTTTAATGAATGAATCTGCTTGGCTTCAATTCATTTTTCTTGTTTGAATTCGCGTACACGTTGTTAGAGGCGAGTTTGACTATACAATACATGTGTGTATGTATGTACCAGAAATTGGATTGGACTTGTTATGGACAAAGAGTAAAGGGAACCCACCCTTACAGTTAGTGTCAACATTTACCTCACCTCCCAACTTTGTATGAGCACAAGTACACATGGGTTCTCAAACACCACACACACACACACACACACAAAGGAATGATGTAGTAGTTTATATATGTACTAGGGTAAATCTATATGAAATAAGTTCTTTTTGACATCAACACTTGATGTCATAATATGGCCTTGACTCATTTGGATGGGGACAAAGTATTGTAGAAGTTTTTGTACTACTCCCTCCGTTTCATTTCAAATCATTTTATATGACAAATGGCATATAGTTAAAAAAATAAAAATTACATATTAAAATACTATATCAAAAGATCTACAAAACTAGTAGTGACAATAATACTTTATTTTATCAAATTGTTAATGAAAATTGATAAAGAAAGTGAATGAAGTTTGACCCTGCAAATAGTGAACAAACATTATAATTTGGGACGGAGGGAGTATCTAATAGCGTTCAAATTAGTCTCTGTACTCAAAATTGAAGCAATTTAGGTGTGATATTATTCCTTTTTGTTCAATCTAGTCTTTCTCTTTATTTTTGACCTTATTTGTTGTCTAGAACTCTAACTGATAACATAATTATATTATAAAGTTTAGATTGGATTTGATATCTTTCGATCATAACACTCCCAAATGAGGTAATTTTGATCAAAATTAAAATCCGTCTGGACTGGCCAGTCGGAGCAATCGAGCCAGAAAGTGTTCACCAATCCTTCAAAATTTCAGATTGGCCCGGAAAAATTCGGAAACCCATCATCAAGCCTGTAACTTTTATTTTAGATTTTTTAAAATACTTTTACTTTCAATTTTGAGTGGTCATAATATTTTTTTCGATTTCAAAATTCATATCGTATAAGAAGGTCAATGAAATGTGTCCTAAAGGTAAAGTTGTAAACTACTCAAAGGGTCAATAGTCAAAAGTCCTTATAAAAATATTCACAAAGTGACCACATAAGTTTATCTAAAATCCAAAACAGGCCACAATATTCCTTTCCTGATCAGAAAGAAAGGGGGAAAAATCCAGATGAGACTCGAGAAGGAGGGTTTTAGTCTCTGATTTTATTTATATATACGGAGTAGTATATATATATATATATATATATATATATATATATATATATATATACTCTCAGTATATTGGAATTCTACGTATATATATATACTCGCATCTGTATTCTGTTCAGCTGCATCTCGTCTTCTTCGTCACCGTCTTCTTCTTTTCTTCGTAGCTAGTCGGCCGGCCGGAATCAGCCATGGCGGCGCTGCAATACCTGGACTCGCTTCGCAATGCCCACCCCGAACTCTCCGATTGGTACACTAACCTCGCGGATCTGTACCAGAGAAAGCTCTGGCACCAGCTCACTCTCAAGCTGGAGGAATTCGTTTCTCTGTCCGTCTTTCAGGTATCCAGCGAACAGTTGACTTTTTGCATTTGTTATTGCAGCATATGTCCTTGATTTTGTCAATGTCTTTGTGGATTTGTGAGTTGGTCGGATGGAAGTTGTATTTCTGAATGAATTGAGTTTTTGAGCAATTGAGAGCATCTATGGTTAGAGTGTGCCTGAGAATTATGGTTTTTGGGCTTGTCAATGTGGCTGAGTAGAGTTGAATTTACAGAAATGACTGAGGAATGCCGAGGGAAGATGAATCATAGTTATGCTTATGTGGGTGTGGGCTTGTCCAACCTGTAACAGGTTTTGAACTTGTGTAAAACAGTATTTGGAACTTTCTTGGTGCTCTCCTGAGGGCATACAGAGATTTAGTTAAATAAACATGCAAATTTATTACGGTTTTCCTTCTAAGATCCCAATGAATTACAACAATTTGTCGATCTACCTGTAATGTAAGTGAAATCAGGTGAAAAGAATCAGTAGAGAAAATTCCATAGTGTGAAGATCAAAGGGAGATAATGCAATTAGACTGGCCTTTTATTGGTGTGAAACATTGAAGGAAAAGAATGTGTCTGGATGATTCATAAAATCTCAAACCTTCTTTCATACTGTATAATATTTCTTTTATGGTTTTGCACTTGATTTTAATAGCATAACATTTGTTTTTAGCCAACTTAAGTTGAAGTTTGAACATTTTGTTATTCATACCAAACTATGAATTTGTATCTATACTACTAACCATGCTCTAGGAATAGAGTTCACTAAGAGGGAGAATGTCTGGTTCTTTTCTTAAGAGAATCTAAAACGTTCAGTCCACATGGCTTTTTTTGATAGTTCATGTGTGTGGGCACTACTGAAAGTTAAATCTGCTAGCATTTGAATCTATATATTGTAAGCTATTACACTCTTTTTTTCAGATGTTCTATGGCATGGTTTATGAACAAGAAAGTAGAAAGGCACCAATTAGAAGTATATTTCCAATGCTGATACTTTGCTATGTTTTTTTCAGGCTGGAGATGCACTGATACAGTTTTATCATAATTTCATCACTGACTTCGAGACAAAGATCAATCTTCTCAAATTGGCACATTTCTGTGTCATTGTTTCTCGGCAGTACCCAGAGAAAGAAGCTGCTATTAGTTATCTAGAAGGTGTGATTGAGAAACTGCGTAGTGCTAAAGAAATGCGCATAGAGGAACCCATCGTTTATATTAAGATGCAAATTGCATTGCTTAAGCTCGAACAAGGGGATCAAAAGGGGTGCAAGAATCTTTTGGAAGAGGGAAACAGTACACTTGATAGCATGACTGATATTGATCCATCTGTGCATGCAAGCTATTATTGGGTTTCCTCTCAGTATCACAAGTTTCGGCAAGAATTCGCTGAATTCTATAAGAGTGCTCTCCTCTATCTTGCTTATACTTCAGTGGAGTCTCTATCTGATGCATTTAAGTTGGTGAGTAGGTTTTTCTATCATCTCATTATGATTTCAGGGGCTGTCATAGTCTCTGTTTCTCATATTTTCATTTGCACAAGGGAAGAAGGGGATTGAGGGTAGGTGGTGGTTCTGAACATAATGGCAGATACTCATTTTAGAATTTGATTGGTAGGTTGTTGAGTGCTGACGTGTAAAGTCATAGGATATGAACTTTGTGCTCCTGATATAAGAAGACATCAAAAGGAAATGTGTGATTGCACACAATGTATTAGTCTTATATTACAAGATTAATACTCCCTCCGTCCCAGAAAACTTTTCCAGTTTCGAATAGCGTGTAAAATCTCATTTATTTTAAAATGATTTTATTACATATTGGTATAGAAATAAAAAGTATAACTTACATATTTAAAAAATACATCAAAAGTTCTACAACATAAGTGTTAAGAAGAATATTTTATTTTATCAAATGATCAATGAAAATGCACACACAAACAAAAGATATTTAAAGCCTAAAATAGTAATCAGGAAATATTTTTTGAGATGGAGGGAGTATAAGATTTAAGTGTCCTGCATCAGGACATTTTTTTTCTGGTGCAACATTTTTATATCAAAGTTATTTTTCATTTATATAAAAACAACAGAACTCATGTATTCCCACAAGTGGGGTGTGGAGAGGGTTGCATATTCGCAGATCTTACCTCTACAATGTTATTTTTCATTCACAAGTCTCTGAAAAGCTCTAGGAATGCAATGTACAAACATGAATTTTGGTTGCTGGTTAGTCAGTACTGATCTGCGAAGTCCTAGGATATGAATTTGTGTGCTCCTGATGTAAGAGGATATTAAAAGGTAATGTATGAGTTCATAAATAACTATTCAAGACATAAGTTACTAGATTAAGATTGGTTCATGGTACCAACTGATTTTTAAAAATTACATTTCAGCAGAAGGAATTGGATCATACTTTTCATCTCAAGAATGTCTAAACTGACACTTCTTATATGTAACATAGTTGGTTGAAAGTTTTAGGATTTCATATGTTATGTAATCAGAGATTAAAAGTATCGTCAGGATACTTGGGGTAAATTATTTACTAGTAGGCTTCTCAATGTTTTTTAGTGCTATAGGCTTCTCAATCTAGTTAGCTGCAACTGCCAAAGGCAGAAAAGTCATGGGTTTGAGCTGTGACTAATAATAATAATAATAATAATAATAATAATATTATTATTATTATTATTATTGTCATTATAGTGTTATTTAGTAATATAAGAATTAGTTTCCTTATATGATTAGAATTATAAATAGTCCGTTCATGTATTAGTAATATTGGTAGAAATAGTTTTCTATTAGTATTAGTACTCTATTTTAGTTAATATTCCTAGTAGCAATGTACTCCATATTAGTTTAGGGCGCTATTAACTTGTTCATCAAGATTCTTAGTAGTATAAATAGAGGTGTTGTATTATTCATTAATAAAATTGTCAATGCTTGAAGTTAAATTTTTCATTATGAGGCTGGTGCCGCTTGTCACGGACTACTCTCCTCTCTCCCGCCATGGGGAGGGAAGAATATTCTTCTTCTACATTTGCTTATGTGTCCATAACATGATATTAAGCATTAATTATTTAATATGTGAATTGTTACATGCTTCTTGCTTGATGAGAATTAAATCATCACTAGTCTCTTCGGTGTGCTATGCAGAATAAATTTTGAATGCGATATTTTGTAAATTATATAAGTTCACTGCTCGGATGCTATCTGTTACTGAACTACCAATTTTCTATACATTATTTAGGATTTGGCATTTGACCTGTCACTGTCAGCATTGCTTGGAGATAATGTATACAACTTCGGAGAGTTACTTGCACATCCCATTGTAAGTTTTCTTCTGCACAATTCAAAGGGTACAGGTTCACAAAAATGAAAATAAGTATGGGCAGTTTATTGGCAGTGCTATGTATGGGCAGATTTTTTAAATATAATTACCAAAACTGAATTATTTAAGTTTGTATCACAGATCAAGAGTCTCTTGGGGACAAAGGTAGAGTGGCTCTACCATATTCTTGAAGCATTCAATGCTGGAGATTTGATTCGCTATCAGTCATTGTGCAACGTCCATCAAGGTGCATTAAATTCTCAACCAGCACTGGTGCAAAATGAGAAAAAGCTCTTGGAAAAAATCAACATTCTATGTTTGATGGAAATCATCTTCAGGTATGATGATACCCCCTCCCACTCCCCACCTAATGGAGTTTCCCTTTTTTCCTAAACAAACGTTTCTAGCCAGGGTGCATTATTATCATTCAAGACTAAATATGACTCCTTGCAGGCGCCCGTCTGAGGATAGAACCATCCCGCTGAGTATCATTGCAGAGCGCACAAGATTAACGGTTGAAGATGTGGAGTACCTCCTTATGAAGAGTCTTTCTGTAAGTGCATGCTCTGCCACTCTATGATTTTGTTTAATAAGGAAAAAATGTTCTGGATTTGTTGAAGTTCAGTGAATTGGCTTAAATTGCTGAATTATCAAAAAAAACTTTTTTGAAGTATATTTCATTAATAAATTAGTGAATATAAAATCTAAACAATGAGGGAAAAGTATCATCTCCTTTGATTTCAGCAAAACCAGAAAAAAAAAAAACTTCTGCACTGTTTTTTTCTTTTGTACTTGGTATAATTTTTTCTTTTTATCGGCCATCTGACAATGTTTAAGTGTTTGAGGGGGGGGTGTTAATGTGCACATAATAATGGCATGATGGTGGCAGGTGCATCTGATAGAGGGAATAATTGACCAAGTGGAGGGAAGCGTTTATGTTTCTTGGGTGCAACCTAGGGTTCTGGGCATTCCCCAAATCAAGTCTTTGCGCGATCGTCTCGACAGCTGGGTTGACAAAGTACACTCTGCCTTGTTGTCTGTGGAGGCCGAAACGCCTGACCTTGTTGCAGCCTGATACCTTCCCCCTCTCTCTCTCTCTCTCTCGTCTTCTCTTTCGTGTCTTAACCGGGACGAAAAGTAAAGATGCGATTTGGCCTCTTTTCATCGTATTGTAAATGGCTGCAAAACTTCTGCATCCATTAAAATTATTACTGTAAACTCAGCTGCACCACTTTTTAACTCATTCCATACTTGCATGAATTCAACTTTGATGTTTTCTTTCGTATTAGGTTTTTGTTACAAATAGTATCTTCGAGTAATTTTTATGAACTCCCATTGGTAAAACAAAATGCTTTCTTTTTTACAGTATTTTTTTAAAAATTTATGCTTTCTCATTAGAAAATCGTTTCCCTTTGGTAGACATTTGTTTTGGCTCATTATATTGGTTACATTTTTGAGCAAATACGGCCCTTCGTTTCATTATTATTCTCATATTGCATGCGATTGGCGCAATTTATAACAGAGTAGAATTTGTGTGGTGCGGTTTGCGCCACACCACACAAGTTCTAAGAGAAGAGAGTTAACCAAAGCATAAAAACACGTGAAGTAATGAATTAAGCGCGTTTCTCAATTTGATGTCGAAATTAGTGGGCACTTAAAAACGTGCATCTATGTATAGTTATAGTTATGAATGTGTGGATGCATGAACACTTTTATGTGGATTATTGCGCCCACCGGGACTTGACCTTTATGTGTTTCTCTTCATCTTCAATACAACACTTTTGCAGAAACTTCTGTGGTTTTTTCCCACGGAAGATGCTTGCTATGAAAATCCTCGGTAACTAGCAGAGTGCCAATATTTAAAAAATAAAAAATAAAAAAAAAGCTTCAGCAATGCTAAGAAGGAGAGAAACACCAATTGTTTTTTCCTCTTACCCAAATGTCAAAATGTGATCATGAATTAATATCATAAATACTACAAATACGAAGTGAATCCATGAAAAATCAACAACAGCCTGCTGAAGAGTTGCAAGGGTTCTGTCCTCTTCTTCTCTGTGAAGTTTTGGCAGTCTTCTTAGAGTAGCAAGAATTCCATTCCCCTCCATCCTGAGCATAATAGTCCATTGGGTAATCTTCTTCCTCCCTCCCTTCCAATGCCCCACCATTGTTGTTGTCGTCGCCATTGCACGAGAGCGAGCAGCAACTTTCTTTCTTTGATCTTTCCAGCTTCGAATTCCTCTCCCACCAACCGCGAAGATCACCCAAGGCAATCTCGGCTTCAAAAGGTGTCAAGAGTGGCTTCCCGAACGCGTCCCCCCAATCTATGGACAGCCTAGGACAGGCGATCTGAACCCAAGCTTCCACCGAGTCTTCAAACAGACCTATTCTAGCCGGAGATATCTCTGACATCATGATCACCGTCCACGTCATCCCTTTCTCCTCCATCTTCTTCTCCAACCGATCCAAGATCCTGGGGTTCCCCTGCCTCCCTAGAGTCCCCAACACGACACCCCAATTCCTCGCTTCCTTGGCCTTCTCTATGGCTTTTCTCCTCTCCTCCTTCATCCCATCGTGATCGTACTCCTCAAGAAACAGCTTCCCCATGTATGGATCGTATCGATATGCTCTGATCTTCGGATTGGCTATCATGAATGCCTCCAGATGAAACCTCCCATCGGCAACGAAGATCAGAACTGCAGTTTCTGGACTGCTAATCTTGTTGCTCACACTTGGAGCAGTGCAACCTAAAACCTCTCCACCTGACAGGGGCTTAGATTGAGGTATCAAAACCCTAAACCCTAGATTTTCGAGCTCCGGTTTAACAGCCCGAATTGCAGTCGAGAACTGGATGGTACCGGCCATGATGAAATTATCGTATTGCTCCGGGGAGAAATTGATTTTCAATTCGTGGAGAAGTTTGCTTACATCGATCGAGATCTCAACGAAGATGTACAGACAGGGGATCGTTGTGCAGTCAATGGGGACGAGGCAGCTGTGGCCGTAGTGTATGAGGAGATCCGCGGACAGCGCGGCGGCGGACAGATCGTCGACGCAGCAGGCGCCGTAGGTGACGTCGCCGAGGACGAAGCAGTCGGCGACGGAGGTGAATGTGGAGATGATATCGACGATGACGAGGGAGTACATGAGGAGGCCCTCGGGGAACTGGAGAGCGACGCGCTTAGCCGCCGTGGATCTAATTCGCCAAACGCACTTGTGAATCTCGAAGTTGTAGTTGTGCGGGAGGAGGGAGATGGCGGCGTTGAGGGCCGCGTCGTTCAGTATGGATTCGGGGATTTGGTTCCTAACGAAGCGCTTCGGGCGCGACTGAGCTGTCCGCCTCTCGTCGGCGGTAACCACGGCGGTGGATGCCATTGCTCAAAAGTCCGACTCAAGCCCAAGTTGACATGATTATTTCAATCAACAAAAAATAATTCAGTAACCGTGTGGCAAATGAATGGAATGTCATAACATACAGTGACAAGTCATTGTTTTTGTCTATTTTTGCACTTTTTAATGATTTTTAATTATAAAAAAATATTTTAAAAATATATTTTATTATTAAAATATGTTTACTTCTTTTAAAAAATATTTTTTTCAAAAATTACAAATACTAAAAATATTTATAAAAATAAAAAATGAGAGAGTCATGCCATGCACATGGAATGGAAAGTGAGGTGGAATGGTCATGGAATATCATGATTTGAGTGAAATTTGCTGACATGGCATGGCATGGCATTGCCTTGCCATTGTGAATGCTCTTAGAGTAAATTTTGAATTAAACTAATCTCTCCCTAAATAAACTTCCCTTTTTGACTTTTTGATGATTTAAGAGAAAAATATTTTTGTGTTGACTTTCCAAAAATACACTTGATGTGATATGTAGATTATTAGTAAAAAGGTATGATGTGATAGATAGAGTATGAAAATGTAAGGGGTAAAAGAGGTTTTTTAAGGAAAAAGATAAGTTTATTTGGGGACAAAGAAAAAACAAAAGAGAAAGTTTATTTATGGACGGAAGGAGTATTTGTAATCTATATGGTATCTCAACGTATGCACCAACATTTTGTACTAGCATAAAACGTATAATGCTAGTGTGATGATTTTCAATGGTATAAAATGTCAATGTAAAATTTTTTGTTGAACTGATATTTTTTGTTAGTATGAATCATTAAAATACTAGTGTATCTTTTTAGAGTAGAATTTTTAATGGACCGGGACTCATTGGAACGGGGGCTGTTAACATGACATTGTGGATTATTAGTAAAATTGATGTTTCTTACTCTCTTAGGCCATGTTTTTTCACCTAATCTGAATTGTTCTAATATGATTTGAATGTAGTTATTTTTAAAATTATTTCTGATTTAATCTGAATTGTTTTGATATGATATGAATGTAGTTATATTTAAAACTATTTCTAATCTAATGTTTTTATGTGATGTGTGTAATTATGTTTATGAATTGATCTTCATTTAAATTTTCTTTAAATGAATCATGTTGAGTTCCCTAATGATTTGCCCACACCTCCATCTCAAAGTGAGTATTTTATTTTTTATCTATTATTTAATCGTGCTTTCTAGGGTGGTTTTTGAAGTATATATATTTTTAGAAAAAAATTGTCTAAATGCATTATCAATCTTATATCAACTGCTTTGGTTGCTATAAAGCAAAAAGAGAAACTTATGAAGGTGCAGTGGAACCACAACTAAAGAAGCTGCTCCAGGGTTAGAATGCCAAATTAGAAGGCAGCTCTAGAATATGAGGTGTGGCCTCTTTGGCTGTTTTTAAACCATTTCTCTCACGTTTTGAGAATTTTGACTAAGAGAGCCATTTATGTCACCATGATGAATTCGGTTGAGGCAATCGGGAAAATGCTTGATCAATATGCAAATAAAAAAGAAAGAAAACACAAGAAAGAAGTGCCAAAGAAAATGACAGTTGAATAAGCTTTAATGGCTTTTCAATTTTCTATGTTTTTACCTACTCTTCTAATTTTATGAAGTTATATTCATTTTTTAAAAATAGGGTTATTGACCATTTAGTTCATGTATTGTTTGATTTAAAATGACTTTGGGTTTATATGTATTCATGGAGCAAAAAACTAATGATTTGGGTTTTGGTCAAGGTTGCTTTGATAGGAGATGATAGTAAAAATGTATATTTTGCTTCACCCTTTTAGATGCTATTAATGAGCTATGACATTTGTTAACCCTGTAAATGTTAAAGATGCTATTGTTAATTTTCATGGTACACAATAATCACAAAGCCATCAATATGCCTGTAAGATCTAACACCACCATATGCAAAGAAGATGCGAAGTTGGATAGCTAAGTGAAGGATCAACAGGTAGGTAACTAACATTCTGTTTGACATCTATTTTTAGTTTGTAGAAAAAAGTTGGTGAAATAAGTAGAAAAATTATACTCGGAACTATTTTTAGGAGTACTAGATAAATCAAATATGCAAGTTTGAATTTAATTTAGAAATATTCAAAATGAAAAATGTGATTTTAATTTTAATACGGTGAAGAATACTATTTTAGTGATGTAATATTATTTTCCCCTTAATCATATGAGTAGCATTTGTTACATCAAAACATAGAAAATATACCAAAATATGAGTTTCTTGAGGGTTTCATGTTTTTATTTTCAAAATAAGAGTTAAAAGACATTTACAATGTCAATCATGTCAATGTACTATGCCAAAAATTATTGTGAAATGTTATAGTGACACATTATCATATTATTAACTCTTATTTTGAAAATAAAAATATTGAGCTCATATTTAGTATTTTTTTAATGTTATACTTTAATTCTATTCGTGGGGTAAAATCTAGTGTAAGACAAACAAAGCAAGTTCCAGTACATTGAAGATAGTGTCTATCCGATGACTCTAACACATTTAGTGTCACCGATCGGATGACACCGAACCTAGTGTCACAGGGCACAAAATAATGAGAGAATAGTTTCTGCGTGCGGCGTATGTATGTATGTACGAGGCGTTACACCGCCCTTTCCCCGTCATCTCGTCACCGCCGGGAAAGCAAAACATCACTCCGAGCGCTTCTCTTCCGGCAGTCGCCAAATTACCACAAACAAAGCGGCTTTGCGTATTTGGGGCCTTGTCGGAGCTTCATAGGACAGGATGCAAAAACAGGATGAGTTCAAGCGCCCTCCTTTCTTCAGCTATCCTCCCTATTTCACGTAATCTCATCCCTCCCTATTCATCTCTCTCTCTCTCTCTATTTTCAGTCTTTTCTTAATCTTCATACTAATCCCAGTTTAAATGGGTGCTTTCAAGAAATTTACAGCTTTCAATTTTCAATTACTCCCCTAAATTGAGAGAAACTTTATTGAAATTGGCAAAAATTAGCCAAACACAAACTATGCATCCTTGCTGCAACTTTCTATAGTTGGAATTAGGATTGATTGGTGTGAAGATAATTAGCATTCTTTACTTCTTTTATGGTTGGGAACTTGGGGTAGTTTCATTTCTCGTTGTAAAACGGATGTTTTGATATCACTGCCTTGTAGAGCTTAAGATATGTAGTCTTGATCTTTAAAATGAAAGCTTCAAACCCTTTTCTCCTAGTCATAATTGTCGTCTTCATCATGAAAAAAACATACACTTGTTTTGATAAAGACTTCTACTTCTAAGGTTCATATCATCTTGTCACACATTTCAGGGGCTGATAAGTGGATCAGTTTTTTTTTTTTTTGCAAAAAACCCAGTTTTATTTAAAAGGACCAAAATAGCATACAACATACATGTCCCTAAACAATGCCTTTCAACGTCATCATCCATCAAGTTCAACTTCAAAGCACTTGCAATGAGTTCCTGACATTTTTACACATGTAGGACTCATTTGTTTAAGCATAGAAACAACAATTTTTATGCATATATATAAAATTTTGTTTCATTTAATTTTTTTTACACCTTTTTAGGGTATTTGTTTGATGTCAAAGTTTAGGGCCAAAGGGAGCATAGGCCAAGAGGGTTTGAACCTGATTCGAGCATTCACCTCATTTTTAAAGTTCATGGCTTTTTCTAATGAAAGTCTTTGTTGAAAGTGCAATTTCTTGCATCCTGTAACTCCTTTTTTGTTTTTTCATACGTAGTTTACAGCCTGTAAGGGAAACAAGGGAAAAACAGACGCAGCTATGGAAGGAGTTGATAATTGACTACTGTAAGTCACAAAAAATATTTGTTATTGGACTTGAGGAGGACTTTCCATTGTTCAGTAATCCTGCAATTGAGAGTGAGAATTGTTATCCTTCATTTAAGATTTTCACTCATCTTGCTCTCTTGATTTTGTCCCTTACTTAGGATTGATAAGATTTGAAAAATCACATGCTGAGTCTAGAATGGTTTTTAAAACTGAGGCCGCGGNCCCCCCCCCCCCCCAAAAAAAAAAACTAGAATCATTATGGAATGTTTTTTTTGTTCCAAGAAAGAGAATTTGAGCAAAAAAAAGAGATATTTTTCATTATATTCACTATATATTAAAATAAGGTGTTTTTAAGAAGTTAAGAGTGTAAACAATTAATTAAACCAAGAAATGTGTTTAAAGTTAGCTATATAATGTTGACTCTTTTATGGGACAAAGGGAGTAGTATGTTTAAAATTTAGCTATATAAGACCAGACATTTTATGCTTCATGTTGATGCTAGTTTACGACTGCAGCTAATTCACATGGGCAGATCTTAATTGCTTCAGTTGTTCAAAGTGAAAGCTTCTGAGGTTTTTGATGTATTTTGTCCGGCTTCTTTTAATGAAGCAGTTCCATTCAATGCAAAATGTTGTCTAGAAATGTATTATCAAAGCTTACATGGTTCTTTTCTACTTGGCGAGGCTCTTAAGAAACTTATAGAGAGGTCTACCAGTCATGAGAATCAGACAAGCGAAAGGTTTCAGTGTATTGTGCAGATTAATATGCAGTCAAATTGACATTAGGGAAAACTCATGGATCTATTGTTTTAACTTGGGGAATCCATTGTGCTCTTATTATTAGCATTTTCATCTGAGTTTTGTTTTATTTGTATGTGAGTACACGCGTCATTGCCTTGTGGTGCTGACTTTCACTTTGTGTCATTATTATGAAGGATCTCTTAGTCATGAAGCAAAGGAAACATTTCTGTCTGCCTTGGTTTCAGATGGTACGCGTTTTAGTCTAATGTGTCAATTGTTTATGACTAAATTAAACATTTCATTTGCTTTTTTTTCACAAAGTCTAAGAACATGCAAGAATGATAAGTTTATCTTGAGACGAACTGAAAAAGGAAAGTGGAAATTTTAATTGGGGTGGAGGGAGTATATACTATATCATTAGATGATTTCGGAGGTCCTGTCCGAGACAAACCCTTAACTAGCTGGGTAGAAGTAAGGTCTATTATGTACATCCTGCCACATATTTCCTACTCTTGACTGAAAAATACTCGCTTATGTATTTTGTTATATCGTTACATGATTCGTTTGAATGTTAATGTGCTTTATTAATTTCTATAATGGATACCCTCATAACGAGAATGAATCTCTTATGCGTCAAAAAACAATATATGTGGCTATTCGATTAACTGCCTTTTCTTGATCAGGCCGTGCAGAATGGATGGATAAAGGCCATAGGAAATGCCTTATCCTTTGGCATCGGATTCAGGATTGGGCTGAAATAATAGTACAATTTGTAAGTGGTCATGCAACTTTAAAACAAATGTCCCAAAAGAATTCAAGTTCTAAAAAGCTTGAAAGTTAGTGCTTGTGAACATCCATTTTTTGATCAATAACTACCTCAAAATCCACTTATTTTTTTATTCTTCTCATAACAAGCAAAAGAAGCAGAATAAACCGAATATGACCACATGGTCTTTCTAAGAAAGATTGATCACTTACAAATATGAGAAAGGGTATCTTGAATTCTTGATCAAGTCTCCGGTACAGATGTAGTAGTACTTTTTTTTGTGTGTGTAAAAAAAAAATCTCCCTTCAATGATATTTCATGCAAAATGTCAGGTGAAGGAAAATGGTCTGGAGGACAGTGTAATGACAGTTGAAGAGATACGTAGCGGAACCGAATCAAGGGGAACAAGTGAGTTGTTGCAATTCATCATCATCATCATCATTCTCTAATACTCTTTCTCTTATGCTTCCCTCAATCTATGTGTGTTTGTGTTGTTGGATACAATACAATATGGTCAGATCTTGATGGGTTGGACCGAACCATTTTGATGCGGGCTTTGAAACTGCTAGAGAACAAGGGAAAGCTTGCGATCTTCAAGGGAACTTCTGCCGATGATGAGGGCGTCAAATTTTCATTATGACCACCCCCACCTTCACGTCAATCGCTAGGCTAGATACGATTGTTGTAAAAATGGTTCCATAACAAATTATTGTCCTTTTGCAACAATTTTTTATACAACAGTTGTTGGATGCCCATCCATAAAAAGTACTACTGTAGTACAAGTATTTGCTTTATCATTAAAGATTAAGATGGATTGGTTATTGTTTACCCGTCACTGTATACTCTGTATTGTACTTTTAGTTCAAATAATTGTTTGTTTGGTTATTTTTTTGAGACATCCAAATTAGAAAAGTGTGAAATTCTTTCTAGGACAGAAAAGATATCATATAAGTACATTATACCTTGTTGCAGACCAAATTTGACACTAAAACAGGGTTTTGCAAACAAGTTTCATCCGGGAGAAACTCACTGGCAGAGTGGCAGCTTATGCACAAGTTTCAGCAGTAAAAATATGCACTTTCAGGTATACTCCCAGAACTACAAGAAGGCTTTGGAGAAAAAAATGCTATGAAAAGATATAATCAAATAATGAACTCAAAATTCCATATAAAAACTTGGGTAAAACAAATGTTGCAGAAGTAATAATCAAGTGACTCTTTATTACTACATTAAATGTGTAGGAAAAGAAAAGAAAAAAACAATCAATCTGCTACTCCCCACTCAGCAAGCTACACAAGTTTAAGGAAATTCCATGGGAGAGGCTGACAAAGAAACAATCCATCATATACCATGTTGTTGTGTTACTAGGTAGGCAGATCAAGACTGGTAATGGGGAGAAAGGTAATGGCGGATCATGGAGGCAAACTCGGGAATTTCCAAGGCGGCCGAAATTCTCTCTTTGTCGTTCAGTTGCTTATTTACTGCAAATTAACACAAACAAATAAGAATGCCCCCCCTTATTTACTTCAAAACCCATTCAACAAAACAAAACACCAGTAAAATCCCAATTCTCTGTTGGGGTTTAGGAGGCTCCAAAATTCACAGAGATTAAATAAGGGAAGTTTTGACCCTTGAATGCCACCAAGTTTAGGACCAAATATAGTGTACTGCCTACTTCTATTGCATGCCATTCGAACAGAAAGAGAAAAAAATAAAAAAGAGACCTGCAGCTTCGGATTGATGTGATCCTGGTGCGACCCTAATATCAATCTGGTAATACGGTACGCAATAAAAACAATTATCATTAGAACAAGCATGGAAGCGTGCATTTATTCAAATATTGAATAAATGGCATACTTTATAGCGGGAAGGCAGGGACTGCGTGAGCTTCACGCGCAAGCATACGCCTATGACGTTAGTCATGTGGCAACCCGTATTGGTTGGGGTGAATGTTACCCTGAAACAAACAATTCCTTATTCAGACACAAGTTTTTCTTAAATAATTTATATGAAGAAAAAAACGCAGAATGATGGGTGTGAAACGAATGCACCTAGCTAGCTCTGATCCTATATATGTATGGATTTATGAAAGAAAAACCTGACATAGCTTCTGGCATCATCTACTTCAATGGAGTCTAGTGTAATAACTTGCAGCCCTTCTAAAGAATCAGGGCGCTCTGGATCTCGTATGTATCTGATATGATGTATATATGCATGTTAAAGAGTCACAACATTAATAATTCTCATCATCATCACAATGTCAAACAATGCTGTCACGGCCATAAAATCTTTTATGACTAACACTTTACTATTTTCACACTGACTTCCCAATGCATAGTTCCCATGTAGTACTAATTAACTAACAAAGAGGGTATTCTCCATATATACTTCTAAATTTTAAGATAGCTTAGAGAAAAAAAGGTTCATATTTCACATAATCAATTCTATACTTGTAATTAAACACTTTTACTGTCCCATAAAGATGTTCCCATTTTGACACTTACGAAATTTAAGAGAATGATAATTTTTATTGACTTTACAAAAATAACTTGATATTGTAGGTAAAAGTAGGATGCGATTAGTAGATTATTAATTAAAATTAAACATATGATATGATATGTAAGTTAAAGAATTAGTAGTGGTAAAAGTGGTTTTTTATCATAAAAAAAGAAAGATTTTGTGACATATAGTGAGTGTAGCTAGTGACATAACTAGCATGTAAATGCTAAAATCTATATGTATGATTGAGAAATTAAAGGATATCAAAAACTTCTTGTCGGTCAATGGGTTCCACAGCATATTCATCAACAAGAGTGGGCCCACGTCGTCGTGTGGCTCCAAGTTCCATCTTCTTCTTCTGCTTCTTATCATGAATGATGGGGTCCAAGTTATTTGCATTAATTGCCAATCCAGAGCAGCCCATTCTCATTCAAATCCTCGATCAAAATACCAACTGCTAGCTACACAATCACAATTCGTTCATAAATTTACTTGAAATAAAAAGAACTAATTACATATCTACATACATAAACAATGCGAATAATTACAGCAGTAACTAACTATTACTATTATACACTGATTGATTACCAATACTCCGCCTATTCTTATTCGGAACAAATTTGAAGAAGACGGAGGCGAGGAAGTTCGGTTGTGAATGGGGGAGTACGTGTTAAGGGAGTATATTTATAAAGGAATATAATACACTTGGGCTTGAAACGATTTCAGTGTTTCGGCCCATACGAAAAGCGGAGGGTCTATAAAAGAAATACTGTGCGGAGCATAAGTTTTTTTTGTTTTTTTGTTTATAACTTCTCTTCTCCTCGCTTGAGTGTAGGAAATCCACCTCTGATTTAGTTTTAAATTTCTATGTTAATTTCATTACACATAAAGCCAATTATTAGCAAGTTATAAAATGATTTTAATTTTGGGATGAAGATGATAGTAAAGAAGTCTCAATTTGTCATACTCATACAAGTGTACACACACCAATTATGCGTAGTATAATTCAACAAACAATCTTTAATGTGTTTGTTTTCGAACACTATTTTTACTTAACAATTTCGGCATTTGTGAACTAAATAATTTTTAATTTTTGTGTTTTACTCCCTCCATCCAAATATTTTCTTCTGGTATTACACCAATACCAACGAAAACCACTCTGAAAAGTCAAAATTTATATTATGATAAAAATTCAAATATGCTGACCAAGAAAAGTCCCAATAAGAAAATATTAGAAACCAGGAAAGTACTTATTTTGAGACGCTTATTAAAGCTAACCTACTTGCTATCTATTGTGTTTTAGTCAAGGCTTTTGGATAGACTTTTGAAAGAAGGCTTAGGAGGGGAAACTTGCAACACACCTACATTGTAAGGCAATATTCTTCTTAACTGAAAACTCTGAAATGGCAAAGAATTTTTTTGATAGTGTCAAAACTCAATGCAGAGTAATTACATGTCTGTCCCTCTTGGGAAAAAAACACTGAACACCATCTTATTATTATTATTATCATTAGGAACTGAAGATGATGGGATCATCCAGTTCCCAGCAGTCCTTACCAATGGCAACCGACTCTTCGCCGGAAACCTTCCTGGCAGCAGCAATTTGGTGGGACATCAGTCCTATCTCGTCCTTCCCAATCCGTCTTACACCATCAACCCCAACCTCCCTCCTCTTGAAAAGTGTCCTAAACCCATCAACCTTCTCAAGGTATCCCAAACTCAGCCCGTACACTTCGCTGTAACTCGTCAAACACACAACTATATCATACTGCCCGCCCTCCCCCACCCCTTGATTATTTGCACTGCTTTCAGCGTACATCGCCCAAACGCTGCCCTTTCTAGGATACACCATGTACACTTCTCTAGCCACTCTTTCACAGTCTACAATATGGGAAAACATATTCGCAGACATTGCAGACGTCTGCTTGGAAACCTCAAATCTCCCGCAAGACATGCGTGGGCCCGTTTTTCTGCCATTGTGTTGAAATTGCAACCAACACAATCTTATCTTGAAGGGATTCAATGACACTACTTCATGAATCAATGCATAGTGTCGTGGTAACCCATCATCATCGTCTTCCTCTCCATAAACAGCCCAAACCTGCCCTTTCTTGAAAACCTTACCCTCTTTTACTTTCCCGTTCCTAGTCACGATGGATTCTCCATCTATTTCGCTTTCATTCTCACTCAAGCACAATTGTAGTATGTCCTTGCTCTTTCTGCTTTCCTTCTTCACTATCGCCTTATCCTTATTCATCTTCTTTATCACAAGCATTTGCATCTCTGCTAATGTCATTGTTTCATCATCATCATCATCATGATCTTCTTCTTCTTCTTCTTCACTATACTCTGAGATCTTTGACCTAGAGCTTTCCCCTTCGAACCCGACATTTCTGGAATCAACCAACCTCTTGGATGATCCTTCCACATCTCCAAATGATCTTTTCTTTTCCCTCAGTAAGATCTCCCCAACACTACTCGTTTTCCTAGCCTTGATCCTAGCACTAACCCTAGTCCCTGAAATTTCATTATTTCGCTCATCCTCACTGCCAATGCCCGTAGAATCCGAAGAATTTTCAGATGCTTCAACAGCTTTGAAGCTCTTATTACAGTTAGGACACATCAAGTTTTGCCCCACATACTTTCTGTCAAACTTATGAACCAATCTGCAATTGGAACACGCCGTCCGGAATGTCTCTACTGCCGCGGCAGCTTCTTCTTCCCCTGTTTCAGACTGCATAGCCATTGTCAGTTTCAAATCGTAATCTTTTCGCCTGATCTTATCCGACAGAACCCTAAACGCTTCGGCGACGACCTTGAATGCATCCTCGCATGCCGCGAAAGGCTTCTTGTCAGGGTGGAGGGTTAGAGCTAGCTTCCTGTACTGCTTCTTAATGCCGTTGATGCGGGAGAACCGCTCGACCTGGAGAATCTTGTAGTAATCCGGCGTACCGGGGACTCCGTCGCTCGATGCGGCGGCGGTGCGAAGGATTTTGAAGGCGGCGAGCATTTCGGAAAGGCCGTCTAGATTGGGGCGCTGACTGTGGGCGCGCTTGGCAAATTGGATAGCTGAATTGAGGTCGCCGGAAGCGTACTTCTCCTCCGCTAGGGTTTTGAGGCGGTGGACGTTCGCGTCTTCTCCGGAATCTCCTCCGTGCGCTGCCATACTCTTTGCCTGCAGTCAACCGGCTGCCGGAGGTCAAATTCAACTAATTTACTTCTTCATGCCCCACATTCTTTATTATTCCATTTTGATCCCACTATTTTTTAAAATCAAGAACCAGTCACATAAATATTTCATGTTTTGACTTTTTATGTCAAATATTGATACTTTTTAATCACAAATTGTGAAAGACGTATATTTAGTTATAGTTAAATTCAATTTTATTGGGGTCATCTTAAGTTAAAGTTTTGACATACTCCTTTCATTCACCGTAGATCTTTCCGGACACAATTCATAGAATTAAATTTAACTTATTTTGCTTGTTTATTTTTATTAGTTATTTCATAAAGTAATATATAATCTTTTCGCCTCTAGTTTTGTAAAAGTTTTCATTCTATTTATTACTATATAAATTTTATTTTAAAATTTTACCCCTATAAGCAAATAATTTGAATTGAAAATAAGATCATTATTTTTTTACAACTAAGATCTCAATAATTTATATTTATTTATTTTCATTAGTCAATGAAAAATTAAAATATTCTTGTCCAAACTTATTTGTAAACTTTTGATATAATTTAATTTGTACTTTTTTTACATATCAATTTGTAAATACTTGGAAGGAAGAAGATAAAAAATAGACGGAGGGGCATATTTAACGAATACGAAGTATAAAGTATTTTTTGGAACTATAGAAAAAATAAGTACGGAATACAGTAAATTTTTTGGCAAGGGTGAGAGAACAAAGTTAAGTTGCACCCTTCCGCTTAAAAAGCACTGTGTTTTGTGTTTGACCACCTTTGATGCAGTGTAGGTTTACAATTTGACTAAAAAAACACAACAGATTTTCCCAATCTATTTCAACATTTTTTGGACATTTTATGAACTTAATACCAATGATACATAGAAAAATAATATATACTGTAACAATCTTGAATGTGATCATGTAGGAGGAAGGGCCGGCAACCAAACAAGAGAGGACTATGAAACTAACAAAGAAAGAATTTTACTTTCTACTTTGGAGTTCCGTTTCTGTTCATTCTCTCTATCTATGTATGTATAAATTTGAACATGAAACAAAGGAAAGAAGAAGAGAAGATGAAGAAGAAATCCAATAATTAACCAAAAAGCAATTAGCTATAGCTTTTATATATATATATATATATATATATATATATATATATATATATATATATATATATATATATATATATATATATATATATATGCCTTTAGCTCAGTCTAGTTTCATATCAAGGGAACTGGAATGAGCCTCCAATTTCAGAATTACCAGATGGAGGGTTGATGGCAACCCAGAGAAGGGAAATGGTGATGGCGATAAGCCCAGACCAAACGAACACAATGGTCGGCGTCCTGCCCCGCCTTCCCATCAGCCCTTTAGCGAAGGGGTAGAGATGAGCCAAAACCCAGAAACTAAAGAACACCCCTCCGATCAGCCGGCTCCATTGCGGTATCGTACTGTAGATCGTCCTGCTGAACCCAACCGCTATGGCTATCAGGTTGGTCATCATGATCGTGATCGGCGGTATCATCAGCGAACTCCACTTGATGATGTACAGGTCCGCAAACTCGTCGTCGTTCTCGTCCCCAGCCGATTTCGACGTCAGGGTGAAGGAGATCTCAATCCCCGCAACCACTTTCAGCAGGCCCTGCAGAACTGCCGCCAGATGCGCGCTCGTCCCTCCTATCAGCCAGAACTGCTCGTTCCTCCACCACTCCTCCAGATTGATCCCCGACCACTTGATCTCCAGGACGGCGAGGGTGCACAGAGTCAGAGTGATGCCCAGTAGGTAGGTGAGGAACGTGACGTTTAGCGTCTGGACTATGAACTGACCGGAGAAGAGTGAGAGGGCGGGGAGGAAGCAGTAGACGATGAGGAAGAGTGAGGTGAAGGGGTAGATGCCCACGTTCAGGTACGCGATTCTCTGCAGTATCTTCATCTTGGGACTGGCCAATAACGCGTTGTTACGGGAGAAGAAGATCTCGACGGATCCGGTGGCCCACCGGAGTACTTGGTGGAGCCGGTCGGTCAAGTTGATGGGTGCCGTCCCACGGAAGGCATCTCTCTTGGTCACGCAGTAAACCGACCTCCACCCGCGGTTGTGCATCCGGTAACCCGTCACCACGTCTTCGGTCACCGACCCGTAAATCCACCCGACCCGGTTCCCCCATTCCGTCTTGTCTTCGTACCAACACGAGATGACACTGATGGCTTCGGCCACGGTGGACGCATCGAGAAGCTCCCGGGGTATCGTCAAGGCGCCGGGCGGGCGCCCGTTTTTAACCGCTGGGTGATCTGCGAGCGGTCTGCCTTGGAACTCAGCAACCGGAATGGAATCAATGAGGAGGGTCGAGTTACCAAACCGTTTCGGGAAAGACGAGAGATTCATCTCCTCGTCGTCGAAATCCCCCATCCTAAGACTCCTATTCTCGTCCTCCGGGTCGGAAGCAACACTAGCCCGTTTCTTCCGGGCGGGGAAACAGCAACAGCAACCGGGATTATAGTCCTTGTTCCTTGGCGGGTCAAAACCGTAAAGGGCGG